AAAAAAACGTCAAATCACAAATCTTATTTCAGTTCCTAGATCTTCTAGTTCTGAAACTTGTATCATACTGCCGTTAACCCTAGTTATATCGGAGCTTTGCAGTTAATAAAAGCTTGCAAAAAAATCTCTGTTCACTTATCCAATAAGCTTTCGAAGTTGAATGTTGAATAATTATGAAGTTGACCGAAGTCACGAACCGAGGCTGCAACATGTTTTAAACTATGAACCACTTGAACGTTATGTCTAGCTGAGTAAAGCTTCGGAAATTCAATCAGGAATTTATCGAATAGTTTTCGCATAACGTCAATTTGAGTTCTGTAAACTAATCTGTTTTCTGCCAGATGAATTCCAATTACCAACAATAAAAAATGTTGATAATATGGTCGATTCATTACAGAACGGAAAGCCACGAAGCCAAATAATATTATAATTTTCACTTCATTGGCTTTGTATTTATGAAATAACCTAATGGATCGTGGAAGTCTAGCAGTAGATGACGGATATTTAATAGTGGATAAATATTGATCGACAATATCAATTGAATGAAAACAGGAGAAAGAATAATTTCGGTATTCACTACTAAACCATAACTTCAACAATCGACGCTAAATAAGAACAAAAAACATTAGGATTAAAATAATAAAGGATGGTCCTGGCATTACGATACTCACTCCTACGCCGTGATACAAGTTACGCAAACTGTCACTGGCAAAAGACTCGCCTACGTCGAAGTACCGAAGTTGTCGTAAAGGGCAAGGTCCACGATGGCCGGCTTTAAGATGTTTAAAAGCTTCTTTTTCAATAATCGAGAGTTTTCTATTTCTTGGCTTCTTATTTGCCATTTTCGACTTTACTAATTGCTGCTCTTGTTCAATAAATGAAACACACTCATCGTACGTTTCATTAGTACGTAAGACTTCCTCTTTATCGCCTTCTGTTATAGGAAAAACACGAATGCGCTTTCCTTGATCATCACTATATGGCACAGTTATCCCTAAAAGGAAAAAGAGGCGATAAAACATTTACCTACGAAATAGAATTCTCTACTATAAAAAATATATACCTTCAATATGACATCGTCCGCAACCAAATATACCCTGCGGTTCACCGATGTTCTGTATCATTGCAGCGGCAGGCTTGTCACAACAAGCTACCAATAAATGTAATTTTAATTTTATCATGGAACTATCTAACGATGCAACTTCATAATAGTGCCCATTTTGAAGGACGAGGAGTTCCTTCACAATTAAATTAAATATATTTCTCATCTGATTACGACTTGGCTTGGAAGAGCCTGAACAGATTCCTGCTATAATGGCATTGTTCATTTTAAATCTTTCTTTTCTTTGAATTTCATTAATGACAAACGATATCACCCACAACGATAAATTGGAGCTTTTCGATACTTGTATTCCATCCGTGTTCATGGTTAGACTTAAAAACTTGCCCACTTCATTTTCACACACGGAACGGTAACGAATACCATCATAGATGTCTTTAATAATTGGTCTTGACTGCTTAGATTGTAGTTGGATATTCAAATGCGGTGATCGTGCAAGTATTTCGGTGACTTGTGGCTTTATTGGCATATGAAGTAGCTGTAATGGTGTTTGTGTATAGCCTTCGGCTTCTGAACATTCTATATTTTCACATTTGCACGATGTCCTACAAACTGTATCACACTTTGTACAAACGGTATATTTGTTACTTGGATCGGTGCTAAAACATTGATCTTGTAAAACACGATTTACTTGTGAATATGAAATAGGTGTTTCAAAAACGTTTAAGGTTTTTAACAATTTGCACAAATCATCAATGCAACTGTTGGAAAGTTTGTGTCTGGCTTTAAACAAAATGAGGGCTGCTGAGATTTCGATTTTTGTAGCCGGTATAGGAAGTTTGGTGCATTTCCTGAAGTGCAAAGACTAGGTTGATGAAAATGCATATTGGTTAAGTTCAAAGTTTAAAAAAGTTACTTACACCTCATCACGGTTGAATTCATCGTCTGTATGAGATATGTCATCATTGCACTTGTCATTTATATCATTGTGCCAATCATTTAAATCATCAGTGCAGTTATCTGTCGTAAATTTTGGTTCCGTCGATGTTGGTGAAACTGATGGCATAAACTGAGATTCACTGAGAAGTTCAACAAGTAACGAATCACTGCACGTCGAATCTAATCGAGTGCTAGGATCGCAGACTTGCCTTTTAGCCTGACAGTATTCGTCTAGTCTAGCTTCCCAAGCCTTGCGTTTCCTCCACAAAGACCACCTTGAGGTCATTTTGATAAAATAAATCTAAAAACAAAACAAAAATTATGCAGAAATATTAGGTTTCGCTTATCAAAAATTAAATGCTCCATGTAGGTCGTCTGTATTTAAATGAGACCCATGTCGATCTTCCTTCATGTGCCGTTCCAGATTTTCTTCTTTAAAAGTTTCTCGGTATAATTTTTGCATGCTATATATAGCGTAGAATAAGAATATCGTACATCAGTAGTCGAAAAACTTCGTTACGGGAGTTGCACACAAAAAGATCAGACGGACACCTCAAGTTTATTCTTCTAATCTAGTGTACGTGCAAGATTTTACATCTGTGAAAAGAAGCAACTTGCTTAAAAATAAGAATAATATCTGTATGAAGAACTGAACTAAATTCATTATTTTATTTAGTAATACAGTAGCTTTCAACTCAGACTAGAGTCATCATCAGCCACATAACTTGATAAGAGGAACGACGTATATATATATATATGTTAAACGAAAAATGAGACGATCATCGCCTGATAGACGATGATGTGTCTGATCATGATTGTAATCTGAGTTGAAAGCTACTATATTATTAAACAGAATAATGAATTTAGTTCAGTTCTTCGTACAAATACTATTCTCGTTTATCAACGCTTGCTTAAAAATGAATACCTTCTTAAAAATGTATTAACCTTGTGCAGATAGTACTCCAGTGACCGTATAATTTTCTGTTGCATCATTCTTACAAAATATTAACCGGCCTTTCTACCACAAAATAAAATACAAGAGAAAATTCATACATGTTTTATTATTTCTCTTTTATTTAATGTTTTTTCATAATTTTTTTTTCTGATCTTGAAAAACAATGCTGTTCACAACCACGACTACATGCTCAATGTCTATTCTTCTTCATTTTTCTTCTGTTTCATTTTCTCTTTTTCATTGTTTATAGCACTGCGTATTGCCTCGTTTAGTTGGCGATCGGTGCATATTTCTGATGAATGATACTTTCGAACAAAACCTAGACAGAGAAAGGAAAACAAATCAATTTAATAATAAACTGATTATGAATTTTTCGAAAGTTCGAAAGTCAGTGATGAACATCCTAACATTAAATTTTCTTTTCGTGAAATAAAATAAAATGTGAAACATTTGCCATACCATGTATTGCAGCACGAACCTCAGGAGCAACATCGTCTTTACTTTTGTAAGAAGCAATTTCTTCCGGTGTTAAAACAGTTTTCAAGATTTCTCTTGTTGTTTTTGTCATACATGTACGAGTACAAAGTAACAACCTTGCTGTGGTTATTCGCAGCGTTTCAGCCAATCGATCAAATTGGTCTTCGCCTGCTACTTCTGCTTTGAAATGTTCAGCAATACTAATTAAATATTTCTGAGTATGTGCATCTGGTTTCGCTAAAATAAATAGAAAAGCAATTGAAATTTTTCTACACAACCAGTAAATTAGTGACTTACGTATTGTACTTTGCTTTAATCTGTTATGGCTACATTTTAATCGTTCATATTCAGATCGTAATTTATCATATTTTTTTTCTAACTCCTTTAGTTTCTTAACAACGGCACTTTCAGCACTAGCATCACCTTCGTCTTCTGAATCTAAATGTACAAAATAGCAAAAAATATTTACTCAACCATTTAAATGCTCGAAGTCCTGATGTTTACCTTTATCTGAATGCTCTTCATCGAAGTCACGTCTTTTCTGCGTCGAATCTAATCGAGCGCTGGGATCGGGCATTAACGATGGTGAGGCAGCTGTTATTGTAATACTTGATGCAGTATTAGTCTTTTTTTGTACAGTTTGTTGTTCTGTTGAATGACGTTCTGCTTTTCGCTGTGGTGTAACAAAATCTAAATTAAATGCATACTAGGTCACCATTTGAACTCCATAGTACTCACGAAATAATTGCACAAGAACACCACAAGTCCTTTCTATAATCGAATATTTTTTGCTTCTACTCCGCTAAACTGTAAAAGCACCCTAAAAATTCGCTTAAACTATCCATGAAACGTCGAAACTTAACATTTATGAGATATGGTGCAAAAAAGGTTTACGGCCGTTGCTACTTTATCTCATATCATTGAATCCTCTTCAACACTTGGAGCCATAAAAATACTGTTAGATTACCTGGACGAATATTTTTGGAAGGCGTTCCTATGTCTTGCTCTTCATTATGGCTGGTGATAGTCGATGTTTTTCGTTTTTTAGTAGTGCTTTGTTGTTGTTTCATTTGTGACTGTTCTTGGTGAATTTGTTTTTGTTTTGCAATTTCACCTTTAATTTGTGCAGCTGTTGTCTCCGGCTTATGTTTTTCGTTACTTCTCAGTGGTGTTTCTTTTAATTTTTGTTGAGATGAGATTGATATTATTGGTGATTGCATATCATCAGTTATAAGACTATCTGTAGCTGCACCGTCTTCAACAGATTTCCGTGATCTGCGCATCGAATCTAATCGAGCACACCCTGGTTGATCTGAAGATGCTGCGTCAGCTGCACGATTTTCCTTGTCCGATGTTGCATCATCTAATGCATCAGCTTCATTTATGACTTGTAACTGATCGGTACATATCGCCTCATCACCTAAAATAGTTGTAGGAAAAAAAATAGAGAACAGTCCCACATATCGATCTGGCTCAATAAGAAGGTTGGACTGAAAAAAATTAGATTTGTTCCTAGAGATCTGCATATGTAAACTTAAACTTAAACAGCCATGCTAACTGTGACCGAAATAACTTACCAAAGACAAGAATTTTTTCCACGAAGTTGTTCTCTGTATTCCATATTTAATTTAAAAGTTATTTCATCATTCGGTTTTAATTTTCTCTGACCCGGATTTATAACATTCGTTAATGGAATTGAATAAAGACGATTATCTTTTTGTCCACGAATTAAAACGTGCGTGTAGTTAGAATGTTTTGCCGTTGACGAGCTAAATGAACCTGAAGAATTTTGTCGTTCCATTTTGTAAAAGAATCTGAATGATAGATGGAGAAAAGCAAACCGGCATAACAACATTTTTATAGATATCACGTTAGAACAAATAGGATTTTAGTTAGCCTACTACGCGATTAGATTTTTTTGTTATAATAAGCGAGTCAGGGGCAAAACCTTTCACTCGCCTCACGACAGATGCGTCGTTTTAGGCAAGAACAGTGTTTCTATTAGGAATTCGAAGCAAATTGATCCTAAACGTCACAAATTATCAACGTAGACGTCGAGAAGAAATTATCAGTAGATGATAAGACTACTCCTGTAACCGCGCGTTCATAATACACTGGAAAAGAAGATACTGCGTACACAGCACAAACTGCGGAAACTTCAGGATATTTTTCCTCAAATGTCCTATCCTACAAGAAAAGAACGATAAACAAGCGAAGTAAAACTGAAATGATAATAAAAACAAAGAACTGTATTTTCGTCACCCAATTATAACACAATATCTTGTGGCGCTACTAGCTTCAAGCAAATTTCAGTACGACATCCTTTATGAATGCTCTCTATAGCAATGCATAAAAGACGTCCTTCAAGAAATAGGAAGTTTAAGGGGGAAACAACCTGCGTATTTATTAATTTAAGAGTCTGACAGAAATGTGATGCTATTCTAAATATCATTGCTTATGTTCATCACACTAGCATTCATGTTTTATTTTGAACAAAACAGAGTTTTCAAAAGAAAAATCTACAACATAGGTGTGAAATAATAGAAAGTTATGTAACATTTTTGGTTTGGTTTGCCAAAACTTCTTGTTTTAGCTTTCGTCGCTTTACACTTGGTTGTGGTCGGCCTTTTCGTTTAACTGGAATGCCACGTTTCTCTCTCTGTTCCATTTGTCGACGGAGTTCGAGGTCGTCGTATTTTTTGGCTGAAAAGAGATATACATTGATTGAGAAGGAATAAATTCAGCAAAAACTCAGAGATTGCTTACAGTCATGCTCGAATACAGTATCTCCAATAACTTTTTCGTAGATTAATTGATTTTTTCCAGAATAATGAATCGTATTCTTCAATTCATAAAGCTGGACAGTGTTCATGCTATTCATTAAATATTGTTTCATGTTAATATGATGTGATATATCAACAAATTTGATGTCATGTGTCAAATCAATAATAAATAAATCTGGAACGGTATCTAATAATGGATTATTTTTGAAATGTTCCTTAAGTAATGCTTTTAATTTGATCATATGTTGAGGAGGTTCATCTAAACAAACGCGAATATTAACAACAGATTGTGTTGAAGATGATGCTATATCATTTGAAAATATATTGTCTCCAGATGCTCCAGTTTCGCGCATCGAATCTAATCGAGCGCTAGCTAAAGCACTAGGTAGCAACGACAATCCTTGTGTTGTTGATTGTAACGAAGAAGATGGTGCAGTGTCATCTGAAAACATTTTCCACCTAGGTGCTCCAGTTTCGCGCATCGAATCTAATCGAGCGCTAGCTGAAGCACTAGGTGGCGGCCAAAGTTGTTGTCTTGAGGACGAAAACGAGTTATCGAGTTCATATCGTTCATCTGATGTTAAGCCGATTGTTACTGTTGGAAATTCTTCTTCAGAATCTTCTTCTTTATCACCGGATAGAAGAAGTAGCCTTTGAGTAGACTTTTTTTTCGACGATTTATCATGACATGTTCGATTTTTCCAATCAATTTTCTTGAATAACAGTAAAATGAATATTTGTTGAAAAACATAGATCAAATTATGCACATCTAATCTTAAGTATTGAATAGATAATTCATCATTTATTGTTAGTCTAAATAGAGAAAACGACAACGTTAGGCTATCTTATAAGAAACCGAACTTAAACGTAGAATAGGACATAAGCAATTAATTGTGGAAATCAGAGAATAACTGCCACAGTGTATTGCTCTTAACGTCCCTTGCGAAAAAGGATTTTTTACGTACTTATCATAATTTTTCCTCTGAAACCGCTTTTTTTCGGATGGTGAAACGAATTCAATTTTACCATTACCATATGTTTCACAGATCTTTGGTAATGATAAAATATTATCAGTTGTTCTTTGCATTAAAACAAAATGGCCATACTGAATATCATAAAAATTTATTATTTTTATGTTAACTTTTTCACAAAAAATCAGATCTTGTTTTGTGTCATGTCCTATCTGAAATAGAGAATCTTTATTAGTCTATAACTGGCATCTTCGGTCGGTGTGAGATTCTTTTTACCTTTACAATATCGTAATTTTCAAATATCGATTTTAAGATATGAAATGTTTCTTTCGGTCTATTGATAGATGTGCAATTAATTACATAGTCACAATGACCATTTGATAGCTGAACGGTAGATATTGTGCTTTGATTAAACTAAAGAATCATAAATAATTCAGGCGTCTCAAGAACAAGTGCAGAAAAGTTACTTTTCAGACGCATAACGAAACTGCAGACATAAAAACTTTGCAGCTGCATCTTCTCGACACTTACTTCAAAGTCGAAACTAATCATATCTGATTTTTCTAATTGTACGACTACTTGTTTCAAATGTGATAAGTTGTCAACAAAAACACATGCGGTATTAGACAAAGATTGTGGTATCTAAAGCAAATAACAGTAAATTTAAGCTACTGTCGTTCTTAAAAACGAGCTGAAGTAGAAAAGTTTTAATTTTTAATAAAAAAATTAATAACTTACAGCATCATTCAACATAAAAAAATTCATTTCTGATACACTTATTGCTCCTCGAATGACTAATTGATAAAGACACATTGGTACAACAATTAGAATATCAGCTGTTAATATTGTGGATGTATCTGTCGTTGCTGAACCGTTCAGAATTAAAACCGTTCTAAAATAAACTTGAAACTGGCAGTGTTAGTGCTTCGGGTTTCGAAAAAATTACCTAGAAATCCTCTGTTAGTCAGGATATTCACAATTTTTCATTAGAGAGTTGTTATTGTAAACATACGGTCATGCAGTAAAAAATTTAACGACCTACCTTATTTTAGAATTAATGAATTTTGACTGAAAATGTTGAATTTGATTCATTGTTTGCTCTGCTAATTCTCGTGATGCCTATACGAAGATAAAGCCAAACAATTAATATATTCTGATGCTACAGTCAAATTCATTCTTACCTCTATAATAATCGCCAGTGGAGCAGAAAGAGGATATATATTTTCTTCATCGTTCAGTTTTTCGTAAACAATTTGTACAATACACGAATATAGAGTGGCTGTCTTTCTAGTATTTACCTAGTAAACAAAGAAGAGTATAGCGTAAACTACAATTTCCGCACGACAATAATTTCTTACCAAATGAAGTTCACTCGAACTTGCTGTAGACTGAGTAACGGACAGACTACTTAATTCCGTATTTCGAAAACATTCAAATAAATTTTGACGTAATGCAAAACAAGAAAAATAACTCATATCTGAAAGATGAGTAACCTAAGTTATAAATTGCTTAAGCAAAACAAACCATTCTTCTCTGGGCAACATCGCATCTAATCGAGTGACTCGGAGAAAGAAAAATAGACTAACAAAATAATATTTAAACTCATTTTTGCTTAGATCAAGCATCGCATTGAATCTAATCGAGCGATTTGAAAAAGAAAATTAATCGATAAAATAGTGTTTAAAGTTCTGAACAGCTCTGACTACGGTCGCATCGAATCTAATCGAGCGAGCCGAAGAAGTACCATAGAAAATCAAAGCATTTACATAATTGACAAAATAAATATTCATGAGGACTCCAGTAATGAAGGAAAACGAAAAAAAATTACGTGTTTTAGATCTTTATCATGCACAAATGCAAGTTTTTCTACGATTTGGCTACTCTTGATATACACGTAGTCCTTCTGTTCGTTAAAAATTCCATAAAGGATATTCGGACATCTAATTTCTTCATTCTCTAAGTCTAGACTGAGTTTTTCTTTTATCCGAACTTTTTGAATTTGAAATAAATGTTTTGTTTGTTTGGTGGTACATAAGAATCCATGAATGAAGCCGACATACAGCTTATTTTGTAGTGTGTACGAAATACAAGAGTCGTTGGCTTGTCGGTTCGAAAAATACTTATTGGTCGTCAGTCGTAGTTTTCCGACGTAAGCAGTTTTATATAAACTAATTGTATCATGATTAAAGGAGGACCGAACTGATTGTAGATGATGTTGATCCGGATCTTTTGTTCGAAATGTGACGAATTGGTTGCTCGCATCTGTAACATTCTGAGGCATAATAACACGAGCCGATGATTGCATCAGATTCAAATATTTTCTTAATTCAGAACTGAAAGACGCGTCTTCACTTTTGGAACAGGCCAGCCGTAATAGCCGTAGGTTAGAGTCGATCTCGATAGCGTGACGTCTGGTAGAGTGACACGATGAAGCTATCAATCCTACACATGAGAGGAATAAAAAACAAAGAAAAAAACGTCAAATCACAAATCTTATTTCAGTTCCTAGATCTTCTAGTTCTGAAACTTGTATCATACTGCCGTTAACCCTAGTTATATCGGAGCTTTGCAGTTAATAAAAGCTTGCAAAAAAATCT